TACGATTTTTATGAAGCAAAGGATAACAGGATTTACGCAAGTGAAGGAAAATAATGGTAGTAGAAATCTTAAATTTTCAAAACTCGTCTATATTTGACAAACATGTAGAAACTAATGCTGCTAGATTGGAATTAATCATCTCGACAACTCTCAAAACGATGAAAAAATGATGAAGAAAATGTCTATTTGTGATGATTTACAGAAGATTCAAAAGATCTGAAGAGTTAATGTAAAGAAAATGTGGAACGAAGGGTTCTAGTAGATCAAACCAAAGGGGTTCCCCGGAAAGATTCTCCTGCAGAGCAGAAGACGAAGATCGACATTATCTCAAAATAAAGATCCAGAAAGCTTTGAAGAAATTCTACGCTTACCAAATGAACAAGAAGCTTGGATCAAGGCGCGGGAAGAAACGAAAACGAATTATAAAATTACAGTTTACCACAGAAACATAGTAGACAGAAATGGTGTTTAAAACCAATAGTTGAAACTTTAAAATATAAATACAAACATAGTACCAAGGATTTACTGAAAAATACGGCAGTGATTATGAAGAAAATTTTTCACCAGTAGCGAAACACACTACAATTCGAGTTTTCTTAGCATGGCATCATATAATAATGCCAAGGTACATCAACTAGATGTTAAAACAGCTTTTTTGAATGGCAAGTTAAATGAAGAAATATATATGGAACAACCAGAAAGATTTGTAGTTCCAGAAGAAAGACATAAAGTTTATAAATGGCAGAAGTCGATTTATGGTCTGAAATAAACAGCTAGGAGCTAGAATGCAGAAATTCAAATTACATTGAAGAATCTTGGGTTCAGTCAAACTAAAGCAGATCTGTGTCTTTTCACAAAAGAGGATCGTCACCGAAGAATCAATTGAATTGTACATCTTGATGATATCCTAATAAGTTCTACAGAAGAAGCACTAATTCTTCAAGTAATTAACGATTTAATGAAACGTTATCAAATAACACATCTTGGTGAAGCTAAATATTTCTTAGGCATGGAAATAAATCGAAAGGAAGATGGAAGTTATCTCTTATCTCCGAAAAACAAAATAAATCAACTAGTCAAGCAATTTCAACTTGAAGAAGCGAAACTCACTGTAGTACACCAATGGAAACAAATTATTATAGTCTAAACCAGGAAGAAAATCTCCTAATTTCAAATGATAAATTCAAGCTTATTGGGAGTCTTTTTGTATATATCGTCTTTCACAAGACCAGATATCACAGTTTCAACTCGCATACTTAGCAGAAAGTGTAATAATCTACGTCAAAAAGACTAGAATGCTGTAAAAAGAATCATTAGCTGTTTAAACACGACAAAGCATTTATCTCTGCAAATTTCGTCGAGTGAAGAACCTAACCTTACAGTTTATTCAGATGCTGATTGGAGACCAGATACTGAAGATAGAAAACATCCCCATCAGGAAGTGCAAATTTGTTAGGCAAAAATTGTATTTCGTGGTTTAAAAAAAAATGCGTCTCATTATCCTCGGCAGAAGCTGAATATGTTGCACTATCGCAAGAATTACTATGGCTATTAAAATTAACAGAAGATTTTAATCTACCCCAAACTCTTAAAGTTTTCCAAAGATAATGAATCAACAATAAAATTGTAGAATCTGAAAAATTTAGTATTGATACAAAATTTCATCATATATGCGGCTTGCATAACAAAGGAATAGTAAAATTTTATCTTTCAACAGAGCATTTTTCAGTTGTATTTAATGATTAAATACAATAATTTTAATAATTAATACAATAATTTTAATGGTTAAATACCATATTCTTTGCTTGTAATAATTTGCTTCAGCCAGAAGTATATTTTGCTAATTCATGTTACAGAGATTTATCTTAAGTTAAATAATTCTCCTGCAAATAAAATTCAGAAAATATTTATAAAATTTATTTTTTAAAGGAATTCTGCAAACTTACTATTTCTAGGAGAGCAAATGGATCTTGCATTGCATTGAAATTCTGAAAAAAAAAAATGTGTTTTAAGGTAAAAATAATTATTTTTATTCTTTTATTCTTCAGGAATATTAAAATCATATTTTAAAAAAGAAAAAAAATCTGAAAGCTTTTTTCAGATTTTACATTACGCGCAGAGGGGCGTTTTTTTATGTTTTGTGTGTTACCTTTATTTACTAGATATCATGTTCTTTCGCAACTTAAACGATAAAATTCAGTTCAATAGTAATATCGCAAAATAAGTTTAAAATGAGCCTATCTTTAGAATTTCCGATACACAGTCTCGGGCGCTGGAGATGTTTTTTTCCGTAGTACTTCCATTCTTCGATTCCTCGCTTTGAAATCAGAGTTTCTTAATCAACAATTTTTAATGTGGCAAAATATGAAAGAGATAATAAAACAAATTCCGAATTAGGGCTTCCAGATGGCCATATTCGCTGGAGGATTACGAAATTCAAAATTTTATGGCTCTAGGTACCGTTGCTACAATGCGAAAAACATACATACATTTACGTAGATGCTTCATTATTTAATTTCTTTAAATATAATACAGGGCGATAATATTTGGTGGCAACAGTTCGAAAAGTGAATCAACGCAGTGAGTGAATCGACGCAAAATAGTAAAACGAAAAATAGCCCTTCTGGGTTAACACCTTTCGGGCTAAACATTACGAAATTTCGTTTTGTTTTCTGTTGAGTAAATAATTCTTGCTTAAAATTTCAAATATTTTATGCGAGGTTGTTGTTACTAATTTCCCTTTTCTTGAAATCAAAGCACGCCCACGAAATTCAAGGTGGTTAGGAGTCAAGATTTGCGCCCGTTGGCAAGAGCCTTTGTCACAAGTGGTTATGTTCTCTGATGCTTCATTAAAAGCTTTTGGAGCGGTTGCATACTTTAAGTACAAGACACCGCATGGCACTTTTAAAATTAGCTTCATGGTTTCTAAACCACGAGTAGCGCCAATTAAAAACGTGACGTTGCCTCGACTAGAATTAATGGGTGCAGAAATTGCAGCAAGAACAGACAAATATTGTAAAAATCTTCCTAAAAATTTAGAAAGATTATTCTGTGGAGTGATTCAACAATTGTGCTACTCTGGATAAAAGGCATGGCATCTAAGTGGAAGCAATTTGTTTCAAACAGAGTATTAGAAATTCAAAAAACTACAGATCCCAGTGCATGGAGACATTGTATAGGTAAAGATAACCCTGCGGACTTGTTAACAGGAGAATTAACTAGTAAAGATTTGCTATCTGCAAAAAATGGTGGCAGGACCCAAAATGGTTATTGTACCAGTAGAATACTTGGCTCCAGCCGAAGAGATTTGAATATGACTCAATAGACCAGGAGATTGAAGCTGAATATAAAGCTTGTGTTGTAAGTAGTAGTTCCGCAATTGTTTCCAAACAGATAATTGATGTTAATAAGTTAATTGCTTATTAACATCAATTATCTGTTACGCAAACTACTTACGCAAACTACTGAAGGTGACTTCTTGGGTATTACGGTTTGTTGATGTTCTTTGAAGGAAAACTAGTACAATGGGTCTTCTTACTGCTGATGAATATAATCGTGCTGAACAGTTTTGGGTAAAAGCTGTTCAACTTTTTCCTCCTAAACGAAAGAATAAAAACAACAATATATTCTACTGATAACCATTGCTCATCTGGGAAGTGGTTAGTAATACGACGGCAGATTCATTTTTTGCTTGCCTTTCGACGTTTTGTATCTCGAAGAGGGCTTGCTAGGTAAAAACAGAGTCATCGGTTATCAGATGTCGTGTACAACTTTTGCACAGTTTAGAACTTCAGAACTAAAGTTTCATCTTCAGTGTTTACAAATATGTTTTGTGAGTACATTTTTTGTGAGTATTCTCTTACGGGGTCATTGAATAATCTTCTAAAAAAGGTGAATATTGCTTTTTTGAATTTGGATAATGTTATATTTAAATTGCCTAATGTTCCATTTAAATTCTCCCTTGTGTCTGGAACTCGCGTGTTTTTTTTTTTTTTTTTTTTTTTTTTTTTTTTTTTTTTGTACGCGTGTATACTGTTTATATACAAGTTTGATGAACGCCTGTGGTTCATGGAGGGCGAGAAGTTGTTAAAAATAAAGGGATCATGTAATCAGGCGGCGTGATTAACGGTCGTCTGAATTCTTTCCCGGCAAGCCTTGAGGTAAATGTTTATGTAAACGAATCTTTAGAATTCTATGTAACGTAGTTTTGGCTTACTAGGCTAGCTTTTTATTTCTTGTTTCTCGGATTAATTGCACTTGGAGTTTTCAGTATAATATGTTTTTGTATGTGATGTGAATAAAAAATAAGAAAAAACTGAACAAACATGTTCTTCATGCAAGAATCTCGTTTAATTTACTAATGATATTTTTTTAGCCAGTATACAGATTCTATAGATCAGATAATTTTAAAGTTTTTGGATACTGTTAAGGAATTTTGTTTGGCAGAAGACACGTAAATAAGGTAAGTGGATATTTCTTTTGTGTAGTGCTAAGATGAATTTCCTTTTTTATGTTATTTCATTGTTTGATTTAAAATGTAGTTTATTGAGATTATATATTTTTTGTTGGCTGGTCCTTTGACTTTTTAAGTGAATATAAATCGATGTGTACATAGACAAAGTCAAGGGGTGCGCAATGCTCTGATGTTTTTTCAGTGAAAATAGGTTGATTTGTACATGGATACCAAGTTCAATTCTTTGACTTCTTATTTTGGACACAATAACACGCCGAATAAATACCAATTCAGAAGTCAAACAACAAAAATCAATTTGTTGATTTTTGTTGTTTGACTTCTGAATTGGTTCTTATCTTGGATTTGTGTAGTAGCGATTTTTGGCGCAAAAATTGCAGCTATACAAATCTAAAATAATAAGTCCAAGAATTGCACAAACTCGGTGTCCATGTTCCGCCAAAAATCGCTAAGGGGCACCCGTAAATATATTTTTAATTTTTTTTATATGATAATGTATCTCGAAGATAATATGATGTAGAAGATAATGATAATGTATACATTGATAATGTTTATCGACTTATGATCATTATGGATTTTATTCGAATTTTTCTATTAATAAGGTGTGAAAACCACGAACTTTCACCCCATGTGTTTTACTTTCTTATGTGTAAAAATATTTCCAAATTGCGCCAAGGTGGTTGCGTTAATATTCAAGTTCCGAATGTGCTATGACTTTAGAGTGAAAAATTTACATCAAGTAAAATACAATTTAATATAATTTATTTCTAGATAAGTTCGGAGTTTTATATTTGAAAATTAATAACTAGATCATCTCAATAGATTTTTCTTCCTACCGTCATGCAACGATCTAGATTTAAAATTTTTTAATGTTTATTCATAGGAAAGATTGAGAAGCCAATCACTGGGTGTGAAAATTTATAAACTTAAAATCTAGCACTCATAATATAGAATAGTACTTATTTAAAATAATTTTAACAGTTAAGTTATTGTCCGTTTATAGCCATGAATTATTTATACTGCTTTCGTTAAATTGTAAATAGTTTTATACGTATATTAGATATCGAATAAAATAAAAACTATTACTAGAATAGATATTATTTTGTGGGATTATTTCCCGAATTACATTTAAAATCTGGACATGGATGTCTGAATTAACTAATAAAAAAATTGCCTAATCCTTTAATGTATTTAAATATAAACTAGAACTGAATCTCTTAACAAATGGGCAGTTTTAGCAAAATGATAAAAGATCTCAATTTTCAGTTTTTATTTTAAATTCTTGGAATATAAAACTTGTAACTGAAGGAAAAACAAATTAATAAGAAAAACACACTATCAATAATTTATAAATTATTTCATGTGTAACATTCCTAGAGAAATATAAAGTTATAACATTCGAATTTAATATGACAACCAATCCAGACAACTGCATTGCCTTTTGAATAGGAAAAATAAGTGTTTATTGAATGTAAGTGAAGGAACTTAATGTTTTTGTTTACATAATTACAAATTATAGCAAGTAACCAAGAAAGTTCGTGCGGTTTTTAAGAACAGTTACTTTCGGTGCTTAGTGTGATCAAACTGATTCTGATGACGTCATACGTTTATATTCCTTTCAAACCTTATTTAGTAGAGATTCAGTGTATCGAACGTTTCGCTATCGGTTTTGTAGGAATTTCAATCTTCGAAAAAATATGTCGTTGGGAAAGGAGATTTTGAAGCCTATTTTGCTTTACAAGTACAAATTAGGAAATAAAGTTGCAGAAGGCGTTAAAAGAATATGCTGTGTGCTTGGAGAGACATCAGTGAGAGAACAAACTGACTGTTCAAAAGTGATTCAGTTGATTTTCATCCGGAGACGAGAGTCTTGAAGACCCTTCGCCTTCGGTTAAGTCCAGCTGGAGGAGGAAATCAAGCAGAATGCCAATTAAAAATGCCAGGAGCTTGAATACAAATTTGTAGTATCTGATGAAACCATTCGACCACGTCTTTATAAACTTGAGATAATATGGGAACTGGGCAAGTGGCTTCCTCATGTCCTGTCCGAGGAAAACAAGTTGTAACGACTGAACATCTGCTTGTCGTTGCTGTCGTGTGCTTCACAAATCTTGACATGTGATAAAAAAAATGGATCATGTATGATAACCGGAAGGTGAAAATCATTGGCGACTTCTGAATCACCGATCTGATTGGCCGTTAAACTGGACATTCACCAAAAGAATGTAATGCCGTGTGTTTGGTGGACTAGGCCTAGCGTAGTCCACTATAAACATCTGGAAAGCGGATAAACTATAACAGTCGAGGTCTACTCGTCACAATTTGCAAACAGTTTTTAGCTGCACTGTGCCAGAAACAGCCAGCTTTGGTCAATAAATGAAGAGTTCTCCTCCAGGATGATGACAGACCTCACATTGCAAAAGCGACCAAACAGGTCATCAAAACACTGGGCTAGAAAGTTCTACTTCAGATACTCTATTTCCCGGGCGCCCCATAGGACACACTGTTTTTGGCCATGGATTTTGGCTGTGGAAACAGCAATTCAGAAAACGCGAAAATGTCACAACGCCTGTGTCACAATTTTTGGACTTCAGAAAAAAGAAATTTTTCAAAAAGGGCATTTTTACGCTTCTGTCTCGTTGGGAACATGTAATTGAAGCCATTTGTGATTATTCCGAAGAATTAAATGGGTGTTTTTAATGCGTGACGAAACCCGTACGAACTTTTTCGGTTACCTGCTAGTGTAAATCGTATTCAAATTGAATATTATTTTTTAAATACAATCACGCTGGCAATTCATCGATTACTACAGTTTGGTATAAAATCTTAGTAACATGCAGTTACGAATCATGGTTAAAGTACGGTATGACGGATTTCTTCGTTAACACGGCATTTCTGGCAAGTTCGTGGTTGATTTGTAAGGTAGCCTCAGAATTTAAAAATGATTTAACTTATCATTAATGTAAATTCGAAGCAAATTTCCCTTTCATCTTAAATAATGTAAGAAAATTAGTTTTATATAAATATGTGCCTAAAATCAAACACATATCCATATTCTTATTTTTACTGAATAAAAACAATAAAATTAATGTTATTTGCATAAATTAAAACGCGTTAAATCTATTTTCTAATCAACCGAAATTACTCAGGCACAAATGTTTTGTTGAAATTACATTATAAAATAATTAAGGTTAAGAAAGTATAAAGCGTATTAAAAACTTTTGCACGTTTACAGTTTGTAATAAATACACGACTCTTGTAGAACTGTTAGTTCTTTTTTTTTTTTTTTTTTTTTTTTTTTTTTTTTTTTTTTAGCAAGAGACGTGAAAAATGTGCAATGCCCTCGCCAAGAGCTGTACTTATTTAATAAAGATAAATGGCTACGTACGCACAAGTCAAACTGTTTCACTTCACCCTCGATGCGCTGGAAAAGTGAAAATAACAATAAAATGGATTTAAAGCCAGAATGAAAACAGAACAGGTTTGAATTATTTATTTGATTACGTTATTTAATTTAAACAAAGCCACGAACTGCATGGCTAAGTTCCATCCATGAAAGTCTAGCATTCCAACTATGCTAATCAACATATTTTTAACACTTTTGAGAAATAAATCTGCATAATCTACCAAGACTGCGTGGTCACAGACTTCCCTTATGTAACTGGCGGTAAAGTCGCTGAACACTGGTAGTTCGGTCCGAGGTTCGAACCCCGCGAACGAGCTAGCTGCATGGGCGTTTTCGTGGTTTTTCCCATGTGGTTTTTTTCGTTTCGGGAACGGGCTGGCTGCATGGGCGTTTTCGTGGTTTTTCCCCATGTGTAACGTGTATACGAGCCAGTTTTCCCTTAGAAAGTCCTCCACGAAGGCATCCCTCCCTTTAGAATAGCCCTCCTTTGCCATAGACAGATAGCCCTCCACGAAGCATCCCTCCCTTAGACAGATAGCCCTCGAAGCTTACCATAATCACACACACACACACACACACACACACACACACTTATGTAACTGTTCCAATCGATGTGTGGCCCATGCGCGACGAGCGCGTAAAGTCACTGAACACTGGTAGTTGGTTGTGGTTTCGTTTTTGGGGGGTTTGGTTCCAATCGATGTGCAGGCCCACTAGCGACGAGCGGTTCACTGAACACTGGTAGTTCAACTTGGTTTCGTTTTGGGGCAAATGGGCTGGGCGTTTGCATGGGCGCTTTCGTGGTATTCGCGATGTGTAATGTGTATACCAGCCAGTTTCCCTTAAAAAGTCCTCCACGAAGGCAGTCCTCTCCTTAAAGTGTGCTTTGCTATCTCCCAAACCAAACCAACCCAACCAACCAATTGACGTGCAATGATTGTTATCAAGTTAATTCTAAATACCATGCATAAATGAAACGAATTGCCATTAAAAAACTGATTCTCAATCCTTAAAACCAATTTTGAGAAAGTAATTTTTTTTTTCCCCCCATTTGTACGGAATATCTTCACATATTCATTTCGGTGTTTCGTTTAAATTGAAGTAGATCTTCATTTCATGGCTTTTCGTGCATTTTCTTTCAGCGTGAATAATTCCTCGTTCCTGAAGCCAATTGTACGGAAGATGTTTCATCATTAGGTAAGTCCCAAATGTTTAAATCCATGTTTTCGTAAATATAATAACACAAGAGTTACCGCTACTCTTTTAGAATTTATACTGTCGTTGCCAATTTTGAAAAAGCATTCTTTTTCTTTTTTAAAAAATTCAACATTCTAACAAATTTAACCGGTACGTGTTCTGCCCTTTTCTTCGTATATCGCAAAGCATGTCACACTGCTTTATCTTGCAAATTTTGCAACAGATTCCGTGCTCCTAAAGTTAGATATTAGACGGTAAGGTTATTTTATATCTACGTTATATTATGCTTCCATAGTGACTGATAAATGGAAAAGGCTGCCGTGTTACTTTGTTCGGTAATATCATTTTAAGAATTCCTCGATGGCTATTGGAAGATCATTTGAAGGTAAAAGAAATTAAAATGTTTTAGAAAGAAACGGCATTTATTAGCTAAGTTACTTAAGGTTAATAACGAATTTGCATTATAATATGATCAAGAAAAGTTGATTTGTAACGTAATAGGTTAAACAGTAGTTTAAGTTAAAATCGTGTAACTTAACGATTACGTAATAGTTTTAACTTAAAATTTGTAACTAAATACTTAAATGCGTGTTAGTGGCCTACGTTTATTTCTGACAAGTTTTGGTACTTATGAACATTTTCTAGAGTTTTCCTTCTTTAATTTATAAAATACATTAAAAAGTAACCTAACTTAAAATAAATGTATATGTGCTTTTCAAGTATGAGAAAGGGAAGTATAATCGTCTAAACAATGGTAAAAAAGGTGCAGGAAGGAAAAAAAAAGGGGGGGTTGTGAACCACTGTTATATACGATTCTACTCATCCCAAACTGTTGAGTAATAAAAACAAGAATTGCCAATTTGGTGTAGGTAATCAAACCAATTTTTAAATCTGAGTTTTTTTATCGCCAGTGGTGAACTTTTTGACGAAATTTTAAATCTTTGTGAAATATAGTAGATCTGTGTATATTTAAACAATTCTGATTGGTGGAACTGATTATATTCTGATCTATTCTATTCTGCTCTGATCTATTTTATTCTGATCAATTCTATTCTGATTTTTTCTATTCTGATATTGACTCTATTAAAACTTATTTAGATTAACTAATTTTTTATGATATTACGTACTTCTAAATAAACAAGTATTTTCGGGAATTGCTGATTTCCAGTAATAATCACGTTTAACCAGTTTTCCAATAGAATTACAATTTGCATTTGATTGAACTTTAACTGGATTTAAGGAAAAATCTACTTGATTCTACACCCAAAAGAAAGCTATAACATTAATTGCTGAATTATTAGAACTCTAACAAATATTAAAGAAGAAAACAGAAAGAAGTGATTTTTTTTGTCAACAAAGACAAATTTTTTGTAAGAATTTGCTGTGAAAAATATAAAAATATACATTTTATATTATTAAAAATATTTTTCTGTAGAACGCTATATTTCCAAACTTTCCAGAAGTAAATTATAAGTAGAATTTTATTACTCGAATGATTAATATTTTTTTTTTTTTTAGTTTTGTAACCTTGTCAGGCCAACAGAATATTTTCACAACATTCGCATTGCGAAGCATTTCACCCTGTTCTTTGATGCAAATTACAATGAAATTCTTCATATTTTATTTGTATTAACTTGTATTTATTCCCTTAAAGTGATGCCTATTTTTTTAATGTTTTTATGTTCACAAGCTGGGAATAACTTTATTTTAATATTCGGTTAGCTCAATAATTTGTTTAAAAATTAAAAAATTAAAATTTTTAAAAATTTACGCCGATTCTCAATGTTTGACTTTGTTTTTGATAGAGGAACATTATTTTAGACTGTGTTTATTTGGTGGTATAAAAACCGTACAGCAAAAATATGATATTAACAGATTTTAACCAATATACCGTATTTGCCAGCGTATAAGACACACTTTTTTTCTTTAAAAATAGGTCTGAAACACGTGCTGCGTCTTATACGCCCATACTCAGTTTTTGATTACATTCATTACTAGAAATTTCCTCTATTCAGAGTTATGCGATTTTGAATGGGCCACAGCTTCACGGGATGCTGTAAAACAAAGACAGTTGTTAAATCGTTTAAGAAGTGTGGCATTAGTAATGCACTGGATGGTACAGAGGACAATTTGTTGTATGAGGACTCAGATGCTCAAGTGACTCTTCATTTAGCTCTAATGATGAGTGTCTGGATTTTGACGAAGAAGATTAAAAGGTTTTCTTTCTCAGATAGATTGGGTATTTGCAGAAAGTATTACTTTGTATTACTTTATATTTAAAAATTCGTCATAATGAACAGTAATAAAATTTTATCCTTCAAAAATGTGTATAAACAAGGGGGTGCGTTTTATACGCCGGCAAATACGGTATATTAGAAAGAGAAATCTTATTTCTGAGACTTTAAAAAGAATATGACAGTCTAAGGGGAACTGCAGTTGACGAAGCTATAGGACCCATTCTCGCCAAATCAACCGGAGAGACTGGTTCTGAAAATAAATCGAGTGGCAAATTTAAAAGGGAATCAGCAGTTGTTTTGTCAAATAATGAATTTGGGGAAAAATGTCTAAAAGGCCTTTAGATTTTATATTACGTCCGAAGGGGCTTTTCTTCATTTACATACACCTGGTTTGGGCTAATAAAAAGGAGGATATCTATAGAATTTCTATAGAATTTCGTTAGACAGGGCCCACCAGAGGCCGAGCGGTAAAGTCTCTGAACACTGGTAGTTCCGTCCGAAGTTAGAATCCCGCGAACGGTCTGGCTGCATGGGCGTTTTCGTGGTTCTCCCCATGTGTAACGTGTATACGAGCCAGTTTCCCTTAGAAAGTCCTCCACGAAAGCATCCCTTCCCTTTTGGCAGATAGACCTATTGTGATTTCCCGTAATTAAATAAAGCAAACCAAACCGTTAGTTTTGCCACTGCTCGCTGTAAAATTTTGACATTTTTAATCAAAAATTCTTTACAAAATATAAAATAGATTATGAAACAAATTCGAAATTCAAAAAATAACTTGGGTTTCCAGGTTCCCATGTTCGGGTGGAGGACTACGCTATTCAAAACTGAAAGGCTCTAGGTATCATTTTTTTTTCCCAATGCAAGAAACATACGTACATTCATGCAGATTGTTCATTATTTAATTTCTTTAAGTACAATACCAGACAGTAATATTTGGTGGCAACAATAGGAAAAGTGATTCAACGCTTTTGGTGATTCTACGCAAAATACCGTTTGAAGATTAAGAGCTCTTTTGGGCTAAAAACATAAAAAGCCTTAATCCTGTATCACGCGATTATAAGGGGGAAAGTAGTGAAATTCTGAGACGTAATAAAAGAAACTATTTAAAAAGCTTACAATGTGTTCAAAATAAAATTAAATAAGTTAAAAAATTGTAGCCTTTAAAAAAAAAAACTTCTTAAGGGAGATGGCTAGTATTTACATTACTCACCGGGCAAAATATGCACGCCGTGCATTAGGATTTGAACCCACATCAAATGTCTCTCACTGCCAAACATAAAAATGTCACATCAAATGTCTCGACTGCTGGTGGCGTTGAGTTTTGAAACTTTTGTAATTTCATTCAGTTCACTAACTACCAACCGGTGCAAAACAGATTGCTATTTTCATAATTTTTTTTTTACTGCATTTTCTTTTGAGCTATACATTCAATCCGTTATTAGAATATTTATTATTACGAATCGTAGTAGTAGTAGTGCTAAAATGACAAAATATGAGTCATCTTTTCCACAGTAAAATAATTCCAGATTTTCTAGTATATTGATTTAATTTTTCAAGGATTAAATTTTCATCACTTCTATTAAATCTTTTATTTTGAATGAACTGACCGCCAAAATAAATCTGTTTTTTAGTCCAACGGGGCAATTTGCCCTGAAGGACTATTAACTTTCGTTTTGGCATTTCGCGTCGAAAAACTTTAAAAGGCTGTATCACTTTTCATATTGTTGCCACCCTATATTATCACCCTGTCTTATATGTAAAGAAATGAAATAACGAAGAAGCTGCATAAGTGGATGTATGTTTCTCGCACTGTGATAAAACAATACTTAGAGCCATCCAAATTTGAGTAACGTAATCTTGTAGCATACATAATTTCCGTAATATAGAATATGCGCATGTGGAAGCCCTAATTTGAATTTGAAATTTGTTTTATTATCGATTTGAGATTTTGTAACCTTTCCAACGAGTTTTTGATTAAAAAAACTAAACGATTTCAAAGCGAGCAATGACAACACTGAACGAAAAATAAAATTTTTCGTACAGTTTTCCACTGCTCCAGCGCGCGAGACTTTGTATCAGAAATTCTAAAGATATGCTCATTTTTAAAATTAAATTGCGATATTGCTGTTGAACTGAATTTTATATTTTGAGTACGTAGATTACGATATTTGATAAATAAAGGTAAGGCACAAACGTTAAAAAAAGCTTTTTTGGACGTAATTTAAAATCTGAAACCTTTCAGATTTTTTTTTTTTTTTTTTTTTTCTGCGTGAATCGATCGATTTGGGGATGATTTTTGAAACCTACGTTTTGAAAGTTTTAAAATTTTGCTGGAAGAGAATAAAATAAAAGAGCGCAGAGTCTTCAAATCTCGTTATTCTTTGCAATTTTTTGTTTATCATTAGAGTATTAGCAGTTAGTTTTTTCTACTGTTGCGTAATTTTAAATGTTATATTCATAAGTATTTTTTCAGAAAAACAAGATTGGAAGACGTTCCTTGTTAGAAATTACTTCGTAATATCATTAGAATAATTAAATAGGATGTAAGTTGTATTTAATTTACGAGAAAGGGGGGTCACCTTCTTTAAAATAATATTTAATTGTGTTTATATAGTTTATGCAATTTCACGTTTAATTTACCAAAATAAGTGATGTGACATTTGTACTTTTATAATGAAAGTTTATAAAAATTCAATATAATTTAATTCCTAAATTGAAAATTAAGGTAAAATAAAACAGCTAAACCGAATTATTTGGCACATGGGAATTTTACTCAAGTAAATACAATTATTTCTTTGAGTTTTATAGGTATGTTTATGTACAGCTGCTACGACTATCTAAGGCAGACGCACAACCAAGCCCGAACCCAAATTATAACCTCAGTATTGGGCGGGAGGTGGATCTGTCGGATAATTAGCTCCTATCGAAAGCTTAAGAAAATTGACTACTTCATCTCTGAAAACTCATGGCTGAACTGGTCGACCGGGATCACCATTCACGGCAATCAGAGACCAGAAGTGCGGCTGTATTTGGCTTGAAGATTTGACTTGTCGTCAAAGTGTTCCTGCCAGTTCTATGCGGGCAGACCCGCACTGAAGGAATGACGCAGAATGACGGTGTTAAACAACGGAATGGCCGCTTGCACCGCTACTGATACCGCGGAATTCGGATCAAATGGCAAGTCATGCCCGCTACCCAGGGCAGCTCTTAGCGGGGGGTTCAGCGCGTAAATTACGCGGTACCACGACTAAATATTTTAAATTCATTATACCTGTCATGTGTAAGTACTTTTTATACAATTTGTAACATGTAAGTACTTCATGAATATGAAATAAAAATTTTATCGATCATTGAGCATTTTTTTTTTTTTTTTTTTTTAATTTGGGGGGCGACAATCTTCGGAAAGTTCGCGGGCAGACAATGGCCTAGGGACGGCCCTGCCACTACCGATACCACCAGACTGGGGAGCCCCCTTTATCCAACCGTGTAAAACAGGGTTTCTTAAACTGTGAGTCGCCCAAAATTTTAGCAGTTTTGATATTTCTTTAACTTATTATGATAATTTTACAATTACCAAATATTTTGACTCAGCGTATCTGAAAATAGGTAAAGATAAGACAGCACAGACAAAGAAAAAAAACAAAAACGCTTCGACGCATTCTTTCTATAAACGTTCCTTTTACTTTCTTTGCATCTGATGTTGTCATTTCGTCGGTTATTTATTTAAAATGTTCACATTGTTCTATGTCTTAAATTAGAAATTAAAGTGAATGACCTAAAACTGTAATAGTACATTACAGTACAAGAGAAAAAGTTGACAGTTTCACTCACGCGTGTGTCGGATTTGCGCAATACTTATGGGGTCCCTGAAAATGGGTCGCGAAAAAATCTATGTGATAAAAAGGGGTCGCGACTGAAAAAAAGTTTAAGAAACCCTCGTATAAAACGATCTTCCCCCAGTGTTCTGGAACCACCAGGTTCGTAATTATTATTCCCCGAGAGTGCTACTGTTGTGATAAGATACCCAGTCAGTATTTTATAGGTATCTAGCACCCATAGCGAATAGGTTCTTAGGTTTAAAAAAAAATTTTTTAAAAATTTTTCATGCTTGTTACGGAATTTTAGTGCCTTACAGAATGATGCGCATTAATGCAAAAATATTCATTATGCAACGTTTTTCATTGCACAGATAGCCTGAGGTCATTATTAACACTTTCACGCTGCGCGGGCCACCGGTGGCTCGCATTAGTCTGTCTCATCGGGCGGCGCGTACCACCTGTGGCCCGCATTAATCGGTCTTATCGGGCGGCGTATGCCACCGATGGTACGCATTCGATTGTGTTATTAGACGCTGAAAATTAAAATAATAAAAAATTAACGTTTTTTATATTATAAAAAATTTTCATAACAATTATAATTAATAACTATTAGCAAACGTACAACTCGTATACAGGTTTGAACAGCTAACAATCGCGAGCCGCCAGATAAAACGCGGCAAAAATTCGAGCACCGTTTTAAGGCGAAGAACATGAAATTTGGCCCCGGCGTTGAACGTGTTAAAGTTAAACGGATTTTGTAACTGGGTTCGCCTGAAACCCAGTTACAAAATCAGAAGTATTTCCTTCACCACGTCTACATTTCATCTCTCCCCCTTTCTGCAACTTGCAGTCCCATAAAGAAAATAGCTATGCTATAACGCTTAAGCTGTTGATGTATGTCTTTTGGAGGAGGAAAATGTTATGAAGATACGGTAATCGTCGGGCTCAAAATAGAATATTGATTCGTCTATGAAGCGAACTGTTGCCCCTCTACTATGTATAACATATAGAATCTTTACTGGCCCGGATTCCTTCTTTAAAAATGTAGGTCTACATGTGTATAAGTGGCGATTTTGTACAGTTTGATTTAGCGCTGTATCTCCTTTTGCAGGTTTTCTTGCTTTGCTTCAATGCGCCGAATTAAAATCGACGTCTGGGCCCACCAGCGGCCGAGTGGCAAAGTTTCTGAATACTGGTAGTTAAATCCTAGGTTCGAATCCCGCAAACGGGCTGGCTGCATTGGCGTTCTCGTTGTTTTCCCCGTGTGTAACGTGTATACGAACCAGTTTTCCTTAGGAAGTCCTCCACGAAGGCATCCATTTCCTTAGGCAGGCTCCTCAAGTCTTTGCCGTAATCACATAAACCAAACCAAGGTCGCACATGAGTTGCACAAGATCTCTCAGTTGCACATAAGTGACCTTGACCTGATAAAGGCCCACCAGCGACCGAGTTGAACACTGGTAGTTAGGTCCGATGTTCTAATCCCGCTAACGGGCTGGCTGCATAGGCGTTTTCTTACATTTTAGCATGTGTAACGTGTATACGAGCTAATTCCCTTAGAAAATACACCACGAATGCAAATACTTTTAGTCACGCCAAACGAATTCGTTACTTGCTTGCATGATTCATCCGTTTCCAGATAATCATTTGCTTGCCAATCATGGATCCTTGTAAATCAAGAAGCTAAGGTAAATTAGGTTAGGTTAATTCATTAATAAAACGCCATTCGAGCGCTATCGCTCTCTGGGCTGGAGTACCTTCGTGCAGGTTCGTTTTAAGTGAAACTAGCTCTTATCTACATTAATATTATGAGAACAACCACGAAACCTTCCATGCAACCAGCCCGTTTACAAGGATTTAAACATGGATCGAACTACCAGTTTCCAGTGACTTTAACGCTCTGTCACTGGGGAGCCAAGGAGGTTGAGATAGAGTTCCAACTCTTTCTGCAATTACGACGTCGTTAAGAGACGCTGAGAGAAGCAAAAGCATACAAAATGGGATTCTCGATCCAGAATCACAATTTTAAACTCCGATATTTAACGTATTATGAGATCACTGATGTTATATCTAGGAAAAAAACCTTCTTTTGATTACTTTGAGACATTAGATTCATATTCAGAAGATGTCATTTGTTTGTAATAACAGGACGATCCTTTAAATATTTGTTAGCACCGTACGTCGCTGCTCAATGGGACTTAGCAATACCTCAAAATGATTTCTTTGACTTGCAGTTTATGTAGTGCATTTTCCCATTATAATTTGAGACACAAAGAAAGTATCACCAGAATTAAATAAGTCTGCAGTGTTTTCAGAAAACCTCTGTTAAGTTGAAAATTCACATACAAGTATATCTTCGAAACGCAAGGAATTTTTTTAAATAATTGCTGGAAGAAAATACTGCGGCGTTTTGCTGCAGAAAACAGTACAGCGTTTAGTTGGCACAGTAATTCTTGAAACAGAGTATCTGAAGTAATAGTAATGCCGAGAATTTATAGCAAAAAGTGCGTTAACCTTTTGAAGACGGGATGGCCATTATAGTGGCCATAGAGTCCTCTCTTTGAAAAGATGGCCATAGAGAGATCCTCTCTTTGTCCTCTCTTTTGAAAAGATCCTCTCTTTGTCCACTTTAGAGGCCATGTCTTTTTCCCTCATTTTCCAAGCTGAAAAGTGGGGTGAAATGTCAAATTTGACGTCCCTAGGGTTTTAACCACTTATCTCTTTCAAAGGTCTTCCTTTTGCGACATAGATGCACCCCTCTGAGAATCCGTTAAACTACACACAAGAATCTTTGTTGCAAATAGGAGGTGATTTCTTAAAGGAGGGAAAGCATTCGGTTCAAGATCCCGACCTCAAAAGGTTAAGTAAAAATTTGCTTTCTCTTACGTCTGCTACAGATTTTGCAAGAGTCGGTAATTGAGACTTGAATGGTTTCACAGCCGCTGCCATAGGAGGCGGAAATGAGATCATTACATCTTCCATATCTTTCGATGAATCGAATAGACCCTTAGAGCCTAAAGTAAAACATTAGTTTGATAAATTACATAACAGTTAAAATAAAATTGCTATTAAGAAAAGGGACTGAAAATAAACTTAGACAATGAAAAGCAAATGGAATTTGAAATAAATTCCAGAAATAACCAGGTCTATTATTAATATCTGGCTCTTCCGGGAGAATTTGCTTACTCAATGATTCATGCTGTCGTTTATCTCGGGCACGCCCATCATGTATCCCATAGTTTGGTTTAAGAGTTAGCACCTTACTAGAACAGTATAATATGACTAATACAAATACACAGCTGGAGAATCCCTTTGAGATGCCACTATCGGAAGACAAGAAAATTCAGTCTCTAGCTACCTTCTAACACTGGGATAAATCTAGTGCAAGTCATGTCATTTACAGGCCGATCTTTGCGAAACACAGACAGTAAATACAGAAATTATATCCTTCTCTAATACAGATAGGCTCAAAATGCCGAGATCACGTTGGTGCAGCCTTTGTAGTAGAAAAAACTATTCTTGGGGTTTCGATTATATCCGGCTTGCTCTGCTTTTACCTCTGAACTTATACCGTTTATCAGGCTCTTAACGTTTCTGTCAGAACATCTTTACAAGAATTTCATTATCTGTACACATTCCTTGAGTGTCCTAACTTCACTCAAAGAGCCTAAGTATAACTTACATCCCAGCATTACCAGGATTCTGAAGCTTAACCAGACTTTAAAATATTGGGGATATCAGATTCTTTATTCCTGGCCACGTTGGCATAAAACGTAATGAACTAGCGGACATTACAGCTAAAACTGCTACTGCAATATCTAATTCCCAGATTTCACTTACAGATATCAATACGATGATCAAACATAAAATTCTTAATAAAGGGCATAGGCATTGGGACTACCAAACGAATAACAAACTCAGAAATAATTAAGACACAATAACACGCCGAATAAATACTAATTCAGAAGACAAACAACAAAAATCAGCGTTATATTTGCAAAATTTTCACAAGACTAGTTTCGATGGTTTTACCGAACCACTATCCTCAGCTGTAAAACCGCAAATGAACAAGATAAGAAAAAATGATTAGATAAGATAAGAAAGCCTGGACAAGAATAAGCAAGTGGCGTCATCTGTTGGTGAAACCGGAACTAAAACATAATTTCTTTAAAGGCCGAAGGCAAATTTGGATTGGAATTAGGATCGTTAACTAGAACAAAGATTTTTATGAATGTGAAATGCATCTAGAAAATTCAGTTCTCCAATGGAAGATGTTTTTTTGAATAATTTTGGCAGCAGAAAAATTGAAAGTGTGATTTCGGACCAACAATGTTGCGCAACAGAAGACTTCTGTGTTTCCTTTTTTCTAACATATGCCTCATGTTCCTTAACGTGAAATTTTAAGGCTCTCTTAGTTTGGCCAATGTAAATTAA